GACTGACTGACTGACTGAGTATGGTTTTACGCCGCGTTTAGCGATTTCCAGCAATATCACGGCGGGGGACACCAGAAATGGGCTTCACACATTGTACCCATGTCGGGAATCGAACCCGGGTCTTCGGCGTGACGAGCGAACGCTTTAACCACTAGGCTACCCGACCGCCCCCTATATTCACATGAACGCTTGTACAGTTGGTTAGCTGTGACAACAATTATGGGTATATACACAGATGGGCATTATATTTATATATTGAGCACAAAACTGTAATCAATATATCAAGGTATTGTTTGCACAACAGACTGTCTTACTATAAAGTAAATGAATCATTTGTCTATCTGTTCCTAATTTATCAACATTTGGTATTGCGGACGTATTGAAGTGTATGATTTCTGTTTTATTTAATTTATAATGTGGGCATTCTAACAGTATATTCATCGTCTATCTAATTATAATTAAGCATGATAGTAAAAAAATCTGATCTTTTGGTGTTATGATATTTATCTTAATCAAATCTTAATACTAAAAGTCATCCCTAAAATTGGCAATATCTGTTCACATATGTACAATTTTAAACAAAATCAACATTACCATATACATTCTCACATGTTCCGATATCATAATATTATTTTTGTTTTGAAATGAAATTGTTTTAATATACTTCTTTAAATATGTAGAATGTACATTTCTTGTACTTACTGTTCATATATTAATAGTTTGTACAATATAGCCACTGTTTCTCGATGGAATGTTACGCAATAATATCTTATCATATCGTTACTAAATTTTAAATTTATGAGCGCTTAAATCAGGATGTTTTTGCGTCAAGTAGCAGGCAGGGGACCAGTGAATGAAAACCCCGAGTAGAATAGGTCTTCAGCAACCCATGCTTGCCGTAAAAGGCGACAAAGCCTGTCGTAGGAGGCGACTAACGGGATCGGAAGATAAGGCTCGCTGACTTGGTTGATGCATGTGATCGTATCCGAATTGCGTGGATCGATGCTCATGGTATCCATCACTGGATTGTCTGGTTCAGACTCGATTATTTACAGATCACCGTCATATAGCTGGAATATTGATGTGTGCAGCATTATACACACAAAAAAATATGTAGTTGTATTTGTTGACTAGTGAAAACATTTATTTCATATCGCTGGAATATTGCAGAATTAAACAACAAACCAGGGAGGGTAGCAACAAGTACCATCATGTAACGTCTTTCGGCTTTTTGGGATGACACGACCAGGGGTTCGAACCATCGTCCTTCCGCTCTCCGGGCGTACGCCAGTAATTAGCCAATAAACAACAAGTAATTATTTGGTAGGTTGATTTGTTGTTGGAAATTAACATCTTCGTAATTTTATTCAAAATTGAAGCTACCTCAAAACTGATTTTACATTACCTCAACTTTGTAAATGATGTTTCATTAAAACTTCTAACTCTAACGTCACATTCGATACTATTTGCAACTGCCATTACATCTAATTTTTGGAACCTAAAAGTAGACGATTCTGCGAAGTTACATTGCTATACAGTACACAGTGATATTTCTTAAAACTCAATTCTTGGCCTGGCTGGATGATTAAATTCAATTTCATTCATGCTATCTGTCTGTCACAACTAATTACAAGTTAACAAATGCAATATAATTAAAACTTTAAAATCGCCTCTGCAAGGAAAATCAAGCATGAATATAACCCCCTCACAGCAGTCTGCAAATTACAGTTGACGATGTCAGGTATGCATAGTCTAAAACTATTTAGCCCAAAAATCCATCTCACAGCGTCTTCAGTCAGTTCAAATTCCGTTTGACACTAAGCAACATTCCAAACGGAAAACTATTTCCACCAATTCTGAGAGAATCAAGTTGTGACATATGCATGCCCACCATGAAGAATTACGACAAAGAGCAAAAGTCTGCGCGAAACTATCTCAAAGATGCCGCCGATCCTCTCAAAGCCCACTGCCAAGGCATCTTCCCAGCTTTCTTGGTGTGCCAGTCCTGGAATCCCCGCTGAAATGAAGCGCAATGTGGCGGCAATTTCTTGGAATCTGGTTCCCGGGTTCCGAGGACTGGTTGAGTAGACGTGACAGGGTGATGTGTAAGAGATAGCCTGTATCCCTGCTTAGCACTGACGGACAAGAATTTCCTCTTTCACTCTCCATCACTGTGCTCTCTCAATCTGGTTCTCAGTTCACTAAACAATGGCTCAACATGCACAAAGGTGCTGGGACTACCACAAAAGTGTGCCCACAATGTTTTTCTTTCTTCTGTCCAAATGTCAATGTTGGGAATTTTATTTCTGAAACAGAACGCCCATCTGTTCGCACCTTTGTTGGGAGATTTCAGAAGCACATTTTGCTCTTTTGTTCCTGTTTTCGGGTTTCTTAGGAACTTTGATCATTTTACAACAAAAGGATTGTTTTGTCTGTTTGGTTACCTCATCTTCATCAGTTTGGAAAATATGTCTAGCTATTAAATAATATTTAGAAGGAACCAGCATGTTGAAAAGTGAAATGGAAAACACTGAAACTGAACCAGGATGATTTTTTTTCTCTTTTTGTTGATGCAGATCTTTTTGTCCATCGGGTGTCATTCTTGGCAAGTTCCACCATCCATCCATCAGTCTATGAACTTAAGTGTAGTGATAATGAGCTCATGTTGGTCCCAATTTATTGAATAGCTGAGATAGAGTTGTGAGTGTGAAACACTTTTACCCAATAAACACTTAAATCATTGCAGGAACAAGTTTTATTCCCCTTCAAATACAGCTAAAGTATTCTAAACATAATGCCCCATTTGACAAGACAAGTTTATCTGTTCTATCATGCAGCTACTGAATTCAGATACATCTTAGGTGTACCAAAGCCCACACTGGAAACAAATTATTTTAGAATCATTGGTTTAGGAAAACAGAACACCCAGCTCTGAATACCAGATCATTTTCTGCCTTTTTTAGTTTCCATTTTGTGGAAACCTCCCAAAGGAATTGTCCAATATTTCAAGTTTGTTCCTTTCCCCTAAGGAGGAAATCTGGGACTTGTTGTCTAGTATTTAGAACAGTTGAAAAAATAAACAGACAAACAATGAATAGGATGCTTGATAAATGGTGGTTTTATTTCAGTAAGACAACCAATATTTTCTATACTTCTTGTTGAATTTTTCAGTAAGTTAATACGAAACAGTTTCCCATGAGAATGTAACAAAAACCTATGGAATGGAATTAATAAATGGGAAGATATTGCTGCAAGCATTGGGACTATTTGTTAAGGGGGGTTAAATTGTTTGTAATGTTCATTGAAATGTTTTCAACTTTTATAATCCCTAACACACTTAAACACTGAAGATAAAGAACAATCCCAATCCATAATGGCTTTTTAAAAACTATAAGATTACAAAACCTGATTTGACCCGTCATTCTTTATCCTGAAAACTGTTCCATGTATCTGATGTTGCCGTCAGGCTGGTATGTTGTTTACAGCACAGTTGCAGCTGTAGCAATATTTCAGCTATTTCAGCCTGATTGTTTTTATTTGGGGGGTGCAGTGACAAAGTTTTCTGCTTAAGGAATGGTGGTTAAACTATTCTGCTTCAGTTGCAACATTAATTCATCTTGTCCTTGTGGCCTGGTTATTAGTGGTGACTTGAAGGTGGTTAAACACTTTTCCTTCAGCTACAACGTTAATTCAGCATGTCCTTGTGGCCTGGTTGGTTGGTTGGTTTGTTGTTTAACGCCGCACTCAGCAATATTCGAGCTATATGACGGCGGTCTGTAAATAATTGAGTCTGGACCAGACAATCCAGTTATTAATATCATGAGCATCGATCCACGCAATTGGGATCGATCAACCAATTCAGCGAGCCTGACCACCCGATCCCGTTAGTCGCCTTTTACGACAAGCATATTCGCATTTTACGTAAGCATGGGTTGCTGAAGATCTATTCTACGCCAGATCTTCACGGGTCTTGTGGCCTGGTAATATAATAAGGTTGTGTGTAAGGTGGTTAATCAATTCTGCTTCAGCTGCAAAAAATGTCTTAGCAAGTCTTTGCGGCCTGGTTATTAGTGGGAAGTTGATGGTGGGTAAACAATTCTGCTTCAGCCAAACAGTGTTTCAGCATGCCTTAGTGACGATGTTGTTTGGGTAAATGAATGAATGGAAGTAAAATGAATCGGCCTAAGCTGAAGCAGTAATTCAGCATGACCTCGTTGCATGATAATTGTTTGGCATTTATATTTGGGGGGGAAAGTCAGAGTCAAAGTTTTCTGCTTAAGGAATGATGGTTAACTTAAACTGCAACATTAATTCAGCATGTCCTTGTGGCCTGGTGATTTAAAATAGGGTTGTGGAAGGTTGTTAAACCATTCTGCTCCAGTGCAACAGTGTTTCAGCAAGTCCTTGTGGCCTGATTATTAGTGGTGAGTGGAAGGTGATTCAACAATTCTGCTTCAGTGCAACAGTGCTTCAGCAGTGCTTCAGCATGCCTAAGTGATGGTGTTGTTTGGGTAATGAATGAATAGTGGTGAAATCAGCTTAATTTTAACCTGCAGCAGTAATTCAACATGTCCTTGTTGCATGATAATTGTTCTGCATGCATGACAATCAATTCATTCTGCTTCAGTTGTATGTTTTTGCTTCAAACCATTTTATCCTTCATTTGCCACCGGGGGACACCAGGAATGGGCTTCACACATTGTACCCATGTCGGGAATCGAACCCGGGTCTTCGGCATGACGAGCAAACGCTTTAACCACTAGGCTACCCATCCGCCCCTTCTCAACATTAATATAAAATAGTAATATATTCATATTATTTCAAGACAAAATATTTCAAATCATGTGTTTTCCTTTTTATAGCCTCTCCTCCGAATACGCAAAAGAACATACGACATAACTTTCAAATAACAGTCAACACATTAGTGCACAATTACATCAATTATTATTCACTCTTCCAGGGCCAAAAACATGTACACAATATTTACATTTACAACAAACAGGGGCCACACAAGACGCTGCTCAAGTTTGCCAACACCTCAGTGAGAAATGACAACCTTTCGTCTACATTCTCTGCAGAATCTTCTTCACAGGTCTTAATCTGATCATACAACTGCACCTTGCAAACTCTTGCACTCCAGAAACAGTCCCAGAATATAATGCTTCCACTTTGCCTGGCACAGTTGGGGCCCAGCGCCATGGCATCAGAACCAAACATTAACAAGGCAATGATAGCTGCGGTCTCAGTGGGAGACAACTTGCATCTTGCAGTTCCAGTTCACTCCACGTGCACAATGGTCATGGAACTTGACAACAAGCAGGCTAATTCGGCTGTTGGCTTATTGAAGGTTTTTACCTGATTGTAATATTATTTTTCAACATCTTTTGATGAAACATTTCATTTTGGGTTTTTCTAAATTGTACATGTTTCAAAAGGCTTAAATGACAAAGATATAACATAAGAATATATTTGGTATTAGAGTCACATTTAGGAATTCTTAAACATTTTTCTCTTGGGAGTTGTGTGAATTGTACATTTCTAGGAGGTTAAAATCACAAATGTAAAACACCCACTGTTGTATGATATTCATGGTTTACAAGATTCAGCAATGACATTATTTCTCCTGAAATTTAGAAATGTTTGTACATTTACAATTGCAGTCCATTATTGTAAGAAATGTATATCAATCACTGCAAATTATGTCGGAAAATATCTGTGTAATTGTGAGGTAAAATATTATGTAACCATAAATCATTACAAAAATACTACCCTACTTAGAATGTAATTTTCAAAATTATCTCTAAAAACATTTAAAATAGACACATAAATATCAGTTTATTTTATGTTCGTTTTTATTTCTTTTTTAAAAGGTTACTTTAATCATTTCCTATCTAAGATTACTTGACAAATTACAGATACTCATTCAATGAACCATGGTTTGAAAGAAAATCAAAGCAAATGTATCCAATTTGGTTCAATCTTTATCTCGTGATTAGTGATTTCAGGTCCTATGTCAAGTTCAAAAGACTTCAATTTAAAACCAATATACTGGAATATTGAAGCTGACAGATGAAATCCTTTGATTTGACAAAATGTGTGAGAGTGATAATAAAACTTGAAACACTCTCCAAACAAACGGGAAAATCTGACAAAACATTCAGAGATTAATCTGCAAAGACAAGGAGCAGAAGATTGAAAGACACCTGGTGAATTCGTTTTTAAATATCGGGTACTCTGTGTACAGGGTAGGGGTAGTTGTGGAAGGCGTGTGGAGTGTGGGGGTAGTTATGGAAGGGGTGTGGGGAGGCAGAGGACTCTGTATTGGGGAGGAGGTAGTTGTGGAAGGGGTGTGGGGAGGCAGGGGACTGTGTGTATTGGGGTGGGCGTAGTGAAAGGGGTGTGTGTGGGTAGTTGTGGAAGGGTTCGTGAGGGTGAAGGACTGTCTATCAGGGAGGGGGTAGTTTTGGAAAGGGTGTGTGTGTGTGGGTGTAGTTGTGGAAGGGGTGTGTGTGTAGTTGTGGAAGGGGTGTGTGAGGGTGTTGTTGTGGAAGGGGTGTGTGAGGGCAGGGGACTGTGTATTGGGGAAGGGGTAGTTGTGGAAGGGGTGTGTGTGTGTGGGTGTAGTTGTGGAAGGGGTGTGTGAGGGTGTTGTTTTGGAAGGGGTATGTGAGCGTAGAGGACTGTGTATTGGAGAAGGGGTAGTTGTGGAAGGGGTGTGTGTGTTGTTGTGGAAGGGGTGTGTGAGGGTGTTGTTTTGGAAGGGGTATGTGAGCATAGAGGACTGTGTATTGGAGAAGGGGTAGTTGTGGAAGGGGTGTGTGTGTGTGTGTGTGTGTGTGTGTGTGTGTGTGTGTGTGTGTGTGTGTGTGTGTGTGTGTGTTGTTGTGGAAGGGGTGTGTGGGGGGGTGTTGTTTTGGAAGGGGTATGTGAGGGTAGAGGACTGTGTATTGAAGAAGGGGTAGTTGTGGAAAGGGTGTGTGAGGGTGTTGTTGTGGAAGGGGTATGTGAGGGTAGAGGACAGTGTGTATTGGAGAAGGGATAGTGGTGGAAGGGGTGTGGGGGGGGGGGGGGGGGGGTGTTGTGGAAGGGGTGTGTGAGAGGAGAGGACTGTGTATATTGGGTATGGTTTTATGCTGCTTTTAGCAATATTCCAGCAATATCACGGCGGGGGACACCAGAAATGGGCTTCGCACATTATAATAGAAATCCTGAAGTTGTATAGTACATAGTTACCAAAGGATAATAATACATCAACTCAAATTGAGAGATCATTGTTTTTCCGAAGCAATCTTACATTGATGTCAAATCACCTGTGAATATCACTTACGCAAGACACTGATGATCATTATATATCGTATTCTTGTATTTATATCACAGACAGTTTACGAATTCAGAGAAGTGTTAATATCAAAGGTTGTGATATTTTTAGCTCACCTGACTGAAAAGTGAGCTTATGTTGTGGTGCCATCCAGTTGTCTGTTGTACACAACATTTACACATCTCCTCTAAAACATACAAGACCTGTGAACTGAACCTTTATATGAATGATCCCAGCCATATAAGGTGTCTCTAACAAGTGGTCATAGAATTCTGATCCAATTTTAAACATGGCAGCAATATTGAAAATGTCATTTTTATTCAGCCATTTCTGTATACTAAGTATATCATTAAGAAATTTGAAACTTATGTTAAAGTCCTCTCGTAAGCAGATTAATACCAAGTAGTTATAATGACTTAATTGTGAAAATCCTTACGAAAATAACAGTGTGGAAGATGAACTGATTGTGGGCTAAATATCCGGGGTTTTTTTTGTTTTTGTTTACTTAAGCCCTCACAGGGAAGAAGTGACATTTACCTGCCTTGCACATGCACAGATGCTGTTGGCTAGAGAATACTATATCAAGACTATAAGAAAGTTCGCAGTAAAGAGGATCATCGGTAAAATACAATATTCCAGAAACATCAGATTAGCTGGAGAACCTTGAAGACATGAAACCTTTTATGAATAAAGACTTCTTTATTCTATATAACGACGTTTGTGCTACTTTTTCCTCCTTCATCAGATGATGACGTTTCAGGGCTACTTGTTTCCCCTTCATCAGATGATGACATTTCAGGGCTACTTGTTGCCCCTTCATCAGATGATGATGATGCAGGGCTACTTGTTGCCCCTTCATCAGATGATGAAGTTTCAGGGCTACTTGTTTCCCCTTCATGAGATGATGACGTTTCAGGGCTACTTGTTTCCCCTTCATCAGATGATGATGATGCAGGGCTACTTGTTTCCCCTTCATCAGATGATGATGTTTCAGGGCTACTTGTTTCCCCTTCATCAGATGATGACGTTTCAGGGCTACTTGTTGCCCCTTCATCAGATGATGACGTTTCAGGGCTACTTGTTTCCCCTTCATCAGATGATGACGTTTCAGGGCTACTTGTTTCCCCTTCATCAGATGATGATGATTCAGGGCTACTTGTTGCCCCTTCATCAGATGATGATGATTCAGGGCTACTTGTTGTCCCTTCATCAGATGATGATGTTTCAGGGCTACTTGTTGCCCCTTCATCAGATGATGATGTTTCAGGGCTACTTGTTGCCCCTTCATCAGATGAAGATGTTTCAGGGCTACTTGTTTCCCCTTCATCCGATGATGATGTTTCAGGGCTACTTGTTGCCCCTTCATCAGATGATGACGTTCAGGGCTACTTGTTGCCCCTTCATCCGATGAAGACGTTTCAGGGCTACTTGTTGCACCTTCATCAGATGATGACGTTTCAGGGCTACTTGTTGCCCCTTAAAACAAGTGTCATTATTTAGATGTGTGTTTGGTTTACTGGATGTGTATAAGACTGAATAGGATGCACGGACATCTTACTCACAGTAATAGAGAATAATAAACTGTACAAGAGATGAAATACTCATGAATACTAATAAAGATAATTTCACACTGACATCTGTACATTACAAACACACCGCGATCATATAGCTGGAATATTGCTGAGTGCGGCGTTAAATAACAAACAAACATTACAAACACAATTGTTTCCCTTTACAAGTAAAACATCAAACCAATTCATAATTAATTTTAATTTTAGCATAATATTTGCAGAAGGTATTGTTAAATAATGAGAATCAACATATATTTAGATATTTATTTTTGATGACATTGATACAATCACCTGCCATATTTATAGCATACTTTAAAAAGGACTTTTTCATCAACTGTCACAACTTTGAATGAGTTGGCTATAACACATTATATGAATCATGTGGATAAAGATATCATGTGAGTATTAGTTATGAGAATTATGACACAATCCAGTGAATCTCTTTCAGGATGGCCGACTCTGATAATGACATTAATGTTTTGTCCATGGTGTTGACATCCTTAATCCGACTGCAGTTTGTTTTTATAGGGACCGGCTTCCTTGCACATGATGGATATAAAGTTAGATTGCCCTGCCTATCATAACATGAAAATGGGAGCACTGTCTTGCATTAATGCATTTTAATAAAGGACTGCACTTTGTGGTAAAAACAATTTTCACAATTTTTGAAATAATTAACATCACAAAATGAGCTGTGTTACAGGTCTGTGTTGTATATTTCAATGAACTTGGTGATATTGTTTGATATTTTCCTTTGTGACTGAATTAATTATGTTTCAATATAGCTCATTGCCATAAAAGCAAATTTGATTTTCACATTTTCAAAATATCTATAATGACAAAATGAGCAGTGTCATGGAATTGTAGGGAAAAGAATTTGACATGTTTTTTAGCCGTAGAGACATTTTCAGATGCAAAAACAATGAATTTCTTAAGATTGAAAAATTTATATTTTAGGATTTTTTAAGCTCTTAAATTCTTTATTCATAAAATCAATATTTGCTGGCATTTTTGCGATAACCATCTTAAACATAAAAATAATTCCATTAATGAATCAAAATATTAACTCCATTTGTGTAACTTTCAGAGTTATCAATCTACCAAGTGCTGTCATATGTCAAATAAATATGGTTCTAAATATTTCTTTCAGTGATTCCACAAATAATCAACAAACACCCAGTAACTGAAATTCTTCTTCAATGAGGTCCAAGTTCAAGCTATAAAAATCAATGTATTACCATTTTTACATATATTACCTTACATTTTAAAACATAAACACATGTACTTTTACTTGAAAAAGTCAATAATTCTAAAAATTCTCAGGGACTGTGAGTTCACATTATGGTTGCAGGATTATGAATAACATTCCAGTGTGGAGTCTTTCTAATAATTGACAGTAAAAATGATTTTTGCCATCAGGGGATATGAAATGTGTTATATCAAGATACTGGCAATAAATGTTTTATTGCCCTATATAATGGGAAACAGAGGGGGTATTTCAGCAATTTCCCATGATTGAAACACATCAGCCTTACATCTGAATGTTACAGCATCCACTGAATTAGAAAAGCTGATTAAATTTGGTATTGGGTGGTAAAAATGGCTGTAGGAAATGGAATGTATTAGGAGGCGTGATTATAAATGAAGAGGTCAAACAAATACTGCAACAAATGACCCAAATAATACAAGTGAACCAGTAAATACACCAACAAGTGAACAAATTAATACACCAACCGTTGAACCGGTGAATACACCAACATGTGAACCAGTGAATACACCAACAGATGAACCAGTGAATACACCAACGAGTGAACTAGTGAATACACCAACAGATGAACCAGTGAATACACCAACATGTGAACCAGTGAATACACCAACAAGTGAACCAGTGAATACACCAACAGATGAACCAGTGAATACACCAACGAGTGAACAAGTGAATACACCAACAGATGAACCAGTGAATACACCAACATGTGAACCGGTGAATACACCAACATGTGAACCAGTGAATACACCAACAGATGAACCAGTGAATACACCGAGTGAACTAGTGAATACACCAACAGATGAACCAGTGAATACACCAACATGTGAACCAGTGAATACACCAACAAGTGAACCAGTGAATACACCAATGAGTAAACCAGTGAATACACCAACTTGTGAACCAGTGAATATACCAACAAGTGAACCAGTGAATACACCAACAAGTGAACCAGTGAATACACCAACGAGTAAACCAGTGAATACACCAACTTGTGAACCAGTGAATATACCAACAAGTGAACCAGTGAATACACCAAGTGAATACACCAACAAGTGAACCAGTGAATACACCAACAAGTAAACCAGTGAATACACCAAGTGAATACACCAACATGTGAACGAACCTGTGAATAAACCAACAAGTGAACCAGTGAATACACCAAGTGAATACACCAACATGTGCACCAGAGAATAAAACCAACATGTGAACCAGTGAATATACCAACATGTGAACCAGTGAATACACCAAGTGAATACACCAACAAGTGAACCAGTGAATACACCAACAAGTGAACCAGTGAATACACAAATGAGTGAACCAGTGAATACACCAAGTGAATACACCAACATGTGAACTAGTGAATACACCAACATGTGATCCAGTGAATACACCAACATGTGAACCAGTGAATATACCAACATGTGAACCAGTGAATACACCAAGTGAATACACCAATGAGGGAACCAGTGAATACACCAACAGGTAAACTGGTGAATACAACAAGTGAACCAATTCAGAGACTAGATGTAAGCCTAACACAATGTATACACCAAGAAATAAATCAATGACTACATCAACCAATGAACCAGGGAACCAATGAACAAACTCATCCCTGTTGTTTCATATGATTTATTACCAATATTCTCCTGTGCAAAGTGTGTCCTTGAGTATAATGTGCACCCCCTATTCTTGGGTACAAGTATTAGGAAAATAGAGAAACTACAACAAATATAACTTTGAACAAGTCAAACTGTGGCATTTATGATAAATGTATCCATTCTCTGACAAGGGGGGTTCATTTCAAGACGTCAACAGCGGTAATCTGATCGCAGTTTCTGTCAATAATGATGAGTTGGTGTGAATTAATGTCAACAATATTGAATGAAATTATAAACTTAATAAAATAGATTGCAAACATAAGTCCAGATAGATCATTAGAACTCTTTATTACCAGATAGTATAATAACAGGATTAACTTGCTCATGGTAATATCTTTGCTTTGAAAAAATAGATGTCACATAATTGTATGCATGTAATATGCAAGTTTGTTTGTTTGTTTGTTTGTTTGTTTGTTTAATGCCTCACTCGGCAATATTCCAGCTATAGGATGGTGGTCTGTAAATAATAGTCTGGACCAGACAATCCAGTGATTGACATCATGAGCATCGATCCATGCAATTGGGATATGATGACATGCATCAACCAAGTCAGCAAGTCTGACCACCCGATCCCGTTAGTTGCCTCCTATGACAAGCATAGTCACCCTTTACATCAAACATGGATTGCTGAAGACCTATTCTACCCCGGATCTTCATGGGTCTAGTATGCATGTGGGGGTGCGGGGGGCCCAGTCGTCTAAGGCGCCGCGATTCGCTTTGCAGAGTTGCGTCCCTTGGGCACACCAGAAACTTATGATTATGGGTTCGAATCCTGGTTCATCCCGATTATGTTTCTAGGTTTGTCAGCACCATACCCATGCTCGTGGGTTTCACCGAAGTGGTAAACGTCCGAGACCTGCATCACTTCGGGGTTTTCCTCCCACATTAAGCTGACAGGCCGCGATATAACTGGAATACTGTTAAAAGCGGCGTTAAACCCAACTCACTCACTCACTCACTCTAGTATGCATGTAGTATGCACACATCCCTCAACACAGCAGGAAAGAAAGTGTGGACTATACACAAGAAATATGTACACCACTTCAAGTAATATTCCTAATCGCAATGAACATCCCATTAAAACAGCGTTGCCATTTGTTGGCATAGAACCCATATCTCCAGCAGATATTTCCTCCCCCCCCCCATTATTTTAAAGCAAATAGCTTGCAAAGTAAACCTGCAATTCTGTCCTGCATAGCCCCTACATAGCCCCAAACACACCTACTCACAGTTCTGTTGACACTTGTTTGTATGACACCATCGTCTATGTTCTGGCTGAAAGACCATACACATTCAATACCTTAGACAAATGCTAAAGGACTTTTGCTGCCAAGGTGTTTATGCTATTAATGCACAAATTGCCAACTTTTACAATTACCCTATAATATAGCTCAATGTTGTCAGAGAAATGGCCAACCGTAATAGATGAAAGGAACCATAAATCTCATATCTCTGGCGTAAAAGTTAACTTTCTTTACCATCTATGATACATAATCCATTCTTACTTTTTGTTTCACACCGAATGTACCCAATAGGAATCTAAATTATATCTTGTCATGAAATTGAGTCAAAACGTTTCTGTAATATTTTCTCTCCACATAAAATGAATCAGAGATGATATGTCATTTTATTTGACACAAGCTGTTGTTGTTTTATCCAGTGATACACTCAAGACCATCATCTCATCATACAACAAGTCAACCCTGCTTGCTTGCCATTTTCAAATCCAATTTTAAATTTTAAACAATCTGGACATGGGTTTGATTTGGTTTGTTGTTTAACGCCGCACTCAGCAATATTCCAGCTATATGACGGCGGTCTGTAAATAATCGAGTCTGGACCAGACAAACCAGTGATTGACACCATGAGCATTGATCCATGCAATTGGGATCAATGACATGCATCAACCAAGTCAGCGAACCTGACCACCCGATCCTGTTAGTCGTCAAATCCTCAACCTTTTGGAATTTAGCCAGCATACAGGCAACAAATGAGCTCCTGTGCTGTGCTTGGGTAACATGTTCGGCAGCTTGGCTCCTTGTTTGTAGAGTTTTGGTCCTGCGCAACACTGAAATACATCTTACATTTTGCGTATCCTTAGGCAAGTGTCTCTATTCAACGTATGCTTCTGTTCACCACAAATGGGTATCAGGTAGAATGAAACATTAATGTGACTGTTGACCTGCTAGCACTCAAAGGCAGATTGGGTTGCATACTCCCCAGGGAGCTGAGATTGAAATTCAAGTAACACTGATCCATGGACAGGGGTAATAATAATGTAGCGCCATAAGCATCTATTTGTGAATAAGAACTTGTAATGATTATTAGGAGTATGGTTATTTTCATCACCACCATTTCTGAAATATCAATATTAATGTTTTAGAATTGTGTACACAAGTCAGCACTAAATACTTCCCAGATCATTTACCTATTATCTAATAAAATGTTTTCTGTTTCGAAACATAAATAGCTATTTCCTTTGTTGTGTAAGACGTGAGCATCTTACATGCTGGTGAGACTCATAATCTCTACTTGGTTTTCTGCTAAAGCTTTATACAACCCTACAACCAGCATGATATGGCTGAAACATTGCTCATTGTATGGATGCAGCAGGGGGACATGCAGAAAGCGTATTGAGGCCGATATAATTGGCAGCACCAGTTCCTGCTGTAGTACATCCTGAGTCCCCTTGCAGCAGAGTGACACCCATTAGAATACCTACTGTCTGAAAAAGACAATGTTCTATTAATGATGTATTTTCTTGCATTACTCTCATTATCTTATTCTGAAAACCATTGTGACATTGAGGTGGACTGAAAGTACCCCGGTGTAAAGGGGGATGTGGGATAGCCAAGAGGTTAAAGTGTTCACTCGTCATGCTGAACACCCGGGTTTGATTCCGCAAAATGGCACAATGTGTGAAGCCCATTTCAGGTGTCGCCTGCTGTGATATTGCTGGTTTAAAGAGTAAATTCAGCACTAATACATACTAAATATCTATACAGAATAATTAGTATGAACACCAGTAGCAGTATCAATACTGGCAGTACCAACCAAGATGGTGCATACTACTTGTAGATGTTGTTCTAGCATAGCATAGGTAGGGGGCACGGGTGGCCCAGTCGTCTAAGGCGCCGCGATTCGCTTTGCAGAGTTGCATTCCTTGGGCACGCCAGAAACCTATAATTGTGGGTTCGAATCCCGGTTCACCCCAATTATGTTTCTAGGTTTGTCAGCACCATACCCGTACTCGTGGGTTTCACCGAAGTGGCAAACGTCTTAGACCTGCATCACTTCAGGCTTTCCTCCCACATCAAGCTGACACGCCTTGATAAAACTGGAATAATGTTAAAAGCAGCGTTAAACCCAACTCACTCACTCACTCTAGCATAGTAGGCTAGTGTGAGTGAGTGGGTTGGTTTAACTCCACTTTAAACAGTATTTCAAGTTGTATTATGGCTTGTCAGCTTAAAGTGATGTAGTGATGCAGTACATTTACCACTCTGGTGGATCCCTTAAGCATGGGTATGGTGCTGACAAACCAGTGCTCCAGATAGCTGGCCTACCTGTAGCTGTGTCCTAGTTATGTGTAGCAAGTATGCAGAGACAACAACAGAGACAAAACAAACAGCAGTTATAGTATCGATACTTGCAGTACCAACCAAGATTGTAGCAATATTCTTTGAGTTGACAGAGACTTGGCCTTCTTCAGAAGTAGCAGTATCAACATCAGTGACAGTACATATAGTAACAACAGCTGTGACAGTAACAACAGCTGTGACAGTAACAATGGTTACAACAGCTGTGACAGTAACAATGGTATCAACAGCTGTGACAGTAAAAATGGTAACAACAGCTGTGACAGTAACAACGTTCACAACAGCTGTGACAGTAACAATGTTACCAACAGCTGTGACAGTAACAATGCTACCAACAGCTGTGACAGTAACAATGGTAACAACAGCTGTGACAGTAACAATGTTACCAACAGCTGTGACAGTAACAATGGTAACAGCTGTGACAGTAATAACAGCTGTGACAGTAACAATGGTAACAACAGCTGTGACAGTAACAATGGTAACAACATCTGTGACAGTAACAGTGGTAATAACAGCTGTGACAGTAACAATGTTAAACAACAGCTGTGGCAGTAACAATTGTAACAACAGTTGTGACAGTAACAATGGTAACAACATCTGTGACAGTAACAGTGGTAATAACAGCTGTGACAGTAACAATGTTAAACAACAGCTGTGGCAGTAACAATTGTAACAACAGCTGTGACAGTAACAATGTTAAACAACAGCTGTGGCAGTAACAATGGTAACAAGAGCTGTGACAGTAACAATGGTAACAACAGCTGTGACAGTAACAATGGTAACAGCAGTTGTGACAGTAACAAGAGCTGTGACAGTAACAATGGTAACAAGAGCTGTGACAGTAACAATGGTAACAACAGCTGTGACAGTAACAATGTTACCAACAGCTGTGACAGTAACAATGGTAACAACAGCTGTCACAGTTACAATGGTAACAGCAGTTGTGACAGTAACAATGGTAACAAGAGCTGTGACAGTAACAATGTTACCAACAGCTGTGATAGTAACAACGTTCACAACAGCTGTGACAATAACAATGTTACCAACAGCTGTGACAGTAACAATGTTACCAACAGCTGTGACAGTAACAATGGTAACAACAGCTGTGACAGTAACAATGGTAACAACAGCTGTGACAGTAACAATAGTAACAACAGCTGTGACAGTAACAATGTTACCAACAGCTGTGATAGTAACAACGTTCACAACAGCTGTGACAATAACAATGTTACCAACAGCTGTGACAGTAACAATGTTACCAACAGCTGTGACAGTAACAATGGTAACAACAACTGTGACAGTAACAATAGTAACAACAGCTGTGACAGTAACAATATTAACAATAGCTGTGACAGTAACAATGGTAACAACAGCTGTGACAGTAACAATGGTAACAACAGCTGTGACAGTAACAATGTTAAACAACAGCTGTGACAGTAACAATGTTACCAACAGCTGTGACAGTAACAATGGTAACAGCTGTGACAGTAACAATAGTAATAACAGCTGTGACAGTAACAATGTTAAACAACAGCTGTGACAGTAACAATGGTAAAAGCTGTGACAGTTACAATTCCAACAACAGCTGTGACAGTAACAATGGTAACAACAGCTGTGACAGTAACAATGGTAACAACAGCTGTGACAGTGACAATGGTATCAACAGCTGTGACAGTAAAAATGGTAACAACAGCTGTGACAGTAACAACGTTCACAACAGCTGTGACAGTAGCAACGTTACCAACAGCTGTGACAGTAACAATGATACCAACAGCTGTGATAGTAACAATGGTAACAACAGCTGTGACAGTAACAATGTTACCAACAGCTGTGACATTTACAATGGTAACAGCTGTGACAGTCACAATGGTAACAGCTGTGACAGTAATAACAGCTGTGACAGTAACAATGGTAACAACAGCTGTGACAGTAACAATGGTAACAACATCTGTGACAGTAACAGTGGTAATAACAGCTGTGACAGTAACAATGTTAAACAACAGCTGTGGCAGTAACAATGTTAACAACAGCTGTGACAGTAACAATGGTAACAACATCTGTGACAGTAACAGTGGTAATAACAGCTGTGACAGTAACAATGTTAACAACAGCTGTGACAGTAACAATGGAAATAGCAGCTGTGACAGTAACAATGGTAACAACAGCTGTGACAGTAACAGTGGTAACAACAGCTGTGACAGTAACAATGTTAAACAACAGCTGTGACAGTAACAATAGTAACAACAGCTGTGACAGTAACAATGGTAACAACATCTGTGACAGTAACAGTGGTAATAACAGCTGTGACAGTAACAATGTTAATCAACAGCTGTGGCAGTAACAATTGTAACAACAGCTGTGACAGTAACAATGGAAATAGCAGCTGTGACAGTCACAATGTTAACACCTGTGACAGTAACAAAGCAGTTGAAGTACCGGTAGCAGTGGATAGCACTATGACAATATGAGGCAAAGCAATAAAACCCGATAACCTCCCAACACCAATCCTTAAGATTGAATAAAAGATTAAAAAAACCATCAGGTTTGCTTTCATTAACACATATAAGTCCTTATTAAGAACATATGTGTAAAATATCAATTTCTAAATTCTCAGGATAATCAACCTGGGGACAGCCTTCTCCAGACCCATTTATGAAACAACAATAAACCATAATACAGCAAGGAGCTGCTTGTGATAGAGCTCATATACATCCTGAAGAAAGATAAATATTTAGTCCTTCTCCTTGCAATATTACCCCACCTCCCCAGATGGAGGAGATAATGCACTCAGACTCCCTGACAATGTCACCATTTAAATGTCCAATCCTCATGACGTGCTATTTATTAGAACCGACTCTGTTTCCAATTATAAATAAATAATCTTCCTCGGGTTCCCAGTCCCTGTTTATCAGAGCGACAGGAAGAGACAGTTTAAGCAAAGAGTTTTCCATTCTGGATGAAAAAATTATACGTTCCTTTTGAAGCTTAATGCATGAAAAATAAATGTTTGAAGTACTGTAAAATTGTAAGCTAATTTAATACTGGTTGGACAGACTTGCACCGGTTCCTGTGAACATGTATCAAGTACCAGTAACTTTAACATTAATCTAAGAATATTGTCTCCTTTTCCATGGGGGAAAGTGATTTATTGGATAATTACCAACACTGCATTCAGTTTTCAGATGTGGAGACAATCTATCAGTTTTAGCGAGGTCAGCGAGGATATCGTGCTTATATCACATCATCAGCAAAACAGACAGATTGCGGTAGGTTGTAGGGTTGGGACAAGTCCAATTTTTTTACGATTGCATGATATTACCTGTATTCCAGGATACTGTTTTTCAAACGATACATATTGCAATATTTTTCTGGTATATTGGGTAAAACAATAAACTGACACAAAATTAAAGGATTTGTTGGTACTAAGTCTAATGACATCTGGCATCTGTTAACCCTGGCATCAAAGCATCTGATAATTCCAAGGCAATGGTAACAAGGCATCCAATGACCCCTGGTAACAAGGCATCTGATGACCCCTGACACCAAGTATCTTATGACCCTGACACCAAATTAAACCATCTAATGACCTTTGACACAAAGTCATCGAATGACTCTTGGCACTAAGGCAACTGATGACTCCTGGCGTCAAGGCATCGACACCAGCCTTGATACCAAAGTATCTTATGACCCTGACACCAAATTAAACCATATGATGACCTTTGACACAAAGTCATTGAATGACTCTTGGCACCAAGGCATCTGATTACTCCTGGCGTCAAGGCATCTGATGACTCCTGGCGTCAAGGCATCTGATGACTTCTGGCGTCAAGGCATCTGATGACTCCTGGCGTCAAGTCATCGACACCTAACCTTGACACCAAATCAAAACATCTGATGACCCCTGAAACCAAATCATCTGATGACCCCTGATATCTTATGAACATGTATGGTACAAGTCAAAATAGGGAATTGCATCAGACATAATTTTGGTCACAGATGTGTCAAATTTGGAAATGTCCTCCTCATGTCTGCCATGGTACTTTTTGAAAGCTTTACTGAGGCTTTGAATGTTGTGACAACTTTGAGCAAGATTCGTATGACGTTCTTCGAAACCTTCGTAGAAAGAGCATGCTCAAATGTACCTCAAAAGTTGTGAAATATAGAACCCAAAGGCTGGAGCTGCTGGAATACTGCTCAACATAAAGGGAAAGTTGAAGCAATCCCTCTTGGAGAAACCTTTTGTCACTGAAATAGTTTCCATGGTTTCATGTCTGCATCCTTCCAGCTGCAGATTCCCCTTCTGACTGTAGTGGGCACAGATGGCTGCAGACTACACTCATACACAGACACAGATAAACTAAGAATGACCAGGTTTTATGCAACTCTATGAACTTTGCAGGCATATCCGAGCTGGGGTCAGCAAGATCGGTTTTCCAACATTATACCCCAAAAGACAGATATAAGATGGACATTGATCCGCTAACAGCAGTGGGGCACGAGTGGCCCAGTGATCTGTGGCGACAACTCATTGTCCTCAGTTGCATCCCTTGGTCCTGTCAGGATCTGCTAGTGGTAGGTTCAAATCAGTACTTTACCTGTAAATCTCCATGATATGCATAACTTGGGGTTTTCCTATTGAAGTATTGTTCAAGTAGCTTACAGACCAAAATGGAGACAGAGATCTAGAAACAAGTCACAAAGCATAAGTAAGTGCTTGGAGTTTTTTTCCATGGCAGGTTATCTCCCTTATCTCCAATTGATTACATCTTTTAAATGTAAACTGCCCAAGCAAAAGAAAGCATTCACTTGAAAATTGGATTTGAGCATAAAAATATCTAAAAACGTTTCTACGCATTTATATCATGTATGTAATATCCCCTATGTAATATGACATATGATACCCGTATCAAATACATTACCATGGTATAACCATTTCTTATTTAAGCCACCATCGAACATGGATGTATACCTTCTTTTGCTGGACAGTTTATAAGGTTGGAGCTTAAGATGTTTGTATCTAATCAGCCATGGGATTGTCTATGCTGCTGCACAGAAAAGTGGCAAAAAGACAAAGATTCTAATGATGCCAACTGCTATACATTTCAATGAATGTGTCTACCTATGAAGTCAAAATTGTGTCAAAACCTGTCCATTGGTACTCATTGTTCAAATAGTACATAGGACATTGTTGCATATTTAACATATCTTAAAATGTTTATTATGTTATGTTTTGGTGTAAAAGAAGGAGAGTAATTGAAAATTCAACAACATGTTTTATTATTGGGCAAATCCAAAATCTCTGACCTATTTCATTAACTATTCAACTATCTGATGAACTATTATACCTTTGATTGTTTGTTTGTTTGTTATTTAACACCAAACTCAGCAATATTCCAGCTATATGATGGCGGTCTGGACCAGACATTCCAGACAATCCAGTGCTTGACATCATGAGCATCGATCCACGCAATTGGGATATGATGACATGCATCAAACAAGTCAGTGAGTCTGACCACCCGATCCCATTAGTAACCTCTAACAACAAGCATAGTCAC